GGCCTAGGTCTTAACCCAGCCTTTCCAGGAAATATCCCTGACCTCCACCCTTACTGAAAATCCTTGTATGCTTGCAATGTGACTAGCTCCCCCATACATTTTTGTACCCGGAATTGAACTCGGGTCCTTGCGCTTGCGAAGCTGGCAGAAACACTTTGATTCCCACTTAATCAATATTACCTGGGTGACTGTACTTGTATTCTTACTGGTTGGTCATGGTTTTGCTCCACCTCATGCCCACTTTGTAATTTTCCATCGGGTCTTATAGTTTTGTCCCACTTTGTATCTGCCACACTACATGGCTTTGCTGTATAAAACATTTTTGAAAAGTGAGGCGAGTGGGCAACTCATTTTCCGGTCCCCCTTCTGTCTCTCTTAGACAGAAGCTTTCTTTCCCTCAATAAATTTTTCCTACTCTTAACTTCCATTGTTCCTAGAATTCATTCTTCGATTTTTAAAGGACATGAACTTACATTTCAGATATCTAGCAGGTTTGCGAGTTACATCTCTTCCCCCGGATTACTAGGAGCCCAGGAGTCATCCAGGACTCCTCCATGTTTCTCTCCCTCTGCATCCATCACTGTCACATTTCAGATCATCTATCTGTCTCCATCTCTGCCTCTGCCAAAATCCATAACTATTACCATACTTTCCCAATTAGTACTCCGGGGCCCGGTTTTTCCCGGTCTCTCTATGACCACTCATGCTACTGGGAACTTTTAAAACTGCAAATCTGATCACGCCATTCCATCTCAGTTCGACTCCTCACAATTCTCTCTTTCATAAACATATGTACACTTGAGTACACACATACACAGTTCTTTCAACAATCTTTAGGAAAAACTCAGATCTTTTGCAGAATCGTATTTAGAGCCACGAGAATAGAAAACTCTACTCACAGCCAGGAAGTCATAATGAGGAGCTGTTATTTGTAGTGTCCCTGAAGGAACAAACAGGCATGGGGGGGTGTGAAAATAGCTAGGGGGATTCCCATCAGAAGAAAGAGACACAGAGGTGATCAGAGACTCATCTTGTGTGACCAAAGCATCATTTATGGTAATAAAAACAATAAAAATAAATCACAGCTAGTTTTTCTGAACACTAATACTTTGCATACTCTCTTAGTTTAGATTCCCTTGAAGTAGAACCCGAGTGGGGAATTCCTATGAAGGTGGCAGCACAGGACTCTCAGGAGAGGGGACAGAGTGGGACAGATCTGGGCAGAACAAGATTGTGCTCTCAGGTGGAGCTCCTTGGAAGCCACAGAGTTGGTCACCCTTTGAGAAAGTAAGGTTGGCTTTCAGACCACCACCCACACCTCCTTCCTGCTCATAGTTCCTATTTGGCACAGGTCAATTTTCCAGAGAAGGGGCACCTTTGAGCGGTTAGCTGTCAACACAGACATGGATGTGGGTGCCCTGGTTGGCAAAGAGAACCTAGGAAAGCACCAACAGAATTCGTAACCCACACCTCATTTCCTGTTCCTACCATCCCAAGAGGCAAGCATTAGTCCCCTCACCAGTAGGAAGCAGATATCATCTGCCTATGGGCATCTGGCCAAGGCTAGGGCAAGAGGAGCTGGAATTCAAATCCAGGTCTGCTGAGGCTCCAGTCTCCTTCCTTTCCTCTTCACTTCTTTCCAGGAAGTCTCGTTCTTCCTACAACACTGAACCAGGAAATGCCAATCCCTGTGACTCCTGGACAGGGCCTGCTCTCAGCAGGGGAAGAGCTGGTCTTTGCCAAGTCCTCCAGACCCCAAGGCGACCAATGGTCTGCAGCCCTACCTGAGAAATGTATCTCATTCTCAGGCCACCCAGGCAAATCTGGCACAAAAGAAACACAAAGTTCCTTGGAAGAGGGAGTGATAATTTGTGAAAGCTAAGGCAGTTACACAGGAATTTTGTGAAGACTTGCAAAAACACAATAATGGAGGTTTTGCAAAAGCAACCTCAAACCCATAAGAGCTGGTTTGAGAAGTTTTAAAAAGAGACACATTTGGCTAACATACACCCATGGGACCTTCAGTCTAGGCTGCAGTTTCCAAATAAAGATAGTGTTTCAGAAGAAGTATTAAAGAGCAGGTTTGTAAAGGTACAAGATCCCGATAATGAATGTAACTGTACTGTATACCTAAAATGTACCAATAAACTCGATGAGGAAAAATAAATAAATAAATAAATAAATAAAGAGCAGGTTTGTCACATGGTAAAATTGGACATTCTGGAAGCAAATGCTTTCCAGAAATGGCTTCCTACTCTTATCTAGACCTTGGACATTATAGGTGCCCAATACACATTTGACAAATGGGTGAAACTGGTATTCACTGTATTTATAAAATATATTTTATGACATTTAGAGGGCTTAGCTGCTGAATCCTCTGCTGACTATGAGGCCTTCATTTTGGTCACACCTTTATGTTAGTCCTTCAGCAACTGGGACAATACAATTCCTGCAGAGGACGAGGCTACACACCATAGGGCATTCACCTGTGTGAGTTCAAGTGAACACTAGGAGCGTTCGTCAAAGACTAAGGGCCAGGAAAGCCCCACTGAGCCACAAAGAGCTGCAGGCTCTGGATATGCCTGAGTTATTTTCAGAATAAATCAGTATGAACTACATTCCTTGTGTTTCCTACACATGGTGGTTTGTGGAAAACCCACAATGCTTTGCAACCCCTCTCATCAAGAGGTGCAATCTATTCCCCCTGTGGAGTGAAGGAGATCGGCAGCACCGTGTCTGGCAGAAAGGGAATGGATGGTTCCGTGACTCTCCAGCCACAGAAGTCCCAAATAGGTGATTACCTGGATATTGCGATTACCCCTCCACATCGGGCTCCACCTCCTTCAGGGCATATGAGACTGCATTACATTTTATCAACTCTCTCAAATTTATTTTTCACCCAGCTATGTAAAATAAACTTACACTTTTTTTTCTCCCCTGGGGGAAAAAAATATCCCCATTTTCAAGGTGGCTGTGAAGATCAACTAAAATAAATATCAAAAAAGGCTCTGTAAACCATGAAGCCAGGGGCAGAGAGCTGAGGGGACTACTATGAAGGGGTTGGGGGAAGAGAGAGGGCATTTATTTGTTCCAATCTGCTTCTCAAGCACTGTTTTCCATTGCTGGCCAAGTCTAAAGCAGACACAGCCTGGAGTCCCTCTTTCCCTTCTAGGTAGAAGGACTTTTCCCACATTTTCTACCAGAGTTGGAAGAGTTAATATCTAGATGTCTCTCCATGAGACTCATGTGCTTATAGATAGGGATTTTGGGAGGTGACTGGATTACGGGGGCTAAAAGCTGACCTGCTGTTAGGGAGTGGGGTCGGCTTGGAACAGGCAGGTCACCAGGGTGTGGCCTAGAAGGTTTACCTGCCCCTAGCTTCACTTTCTGCCTCCTGTTGACCATGCCACAAGCAGCTCTCCTCTGCCTTGCCCCTCTGCCGTGCCATCCTGCCTTAAGGCCAGCAGGTATGGGCTGAAACGTGAACCAAAATAAGCCTCTCCTCCTTTAAGTTGTGGGTGTCAGGTATGTTGTCCCAGTGACAAAGAAAGTGACTAAGACAGAGCCTGGACTAATTTCACCACAGTAAAGTTCGAAAGCCAGGGCTCAATGCAGTAACAAATGCTATTGCATTAGACAAGACTAAGATGAGATGTTCAGATGTGAGCTCTGGTCTTCTGCGATGCACATTTCCAAGCTGACTATGGACAATTAAATGACATTAGTGGATGCTTCCAGGACCTGAGGTCTTGTCCACCGGTCTTGCAGGCTGGCACATGTAAAGCAATAAAAAGGCAGCTTTGCAGCAGCAGCATGAAACTCACATGGGGACAGGCCAGAGAAGGGGCATGGTGTTGCGGCCCCAGCAAGAACATCTCTGCCAAGGCAGGGAAAGGAGTGAAGTGCTTTCTTTGCAGCTGTCCCACTATACGTTTCTCACTGGCACTACCCTCTAAAGGCCACAGACCCACATCTTACTTGTCTGTGGCTCCACAGCATTTGTCAATGTCTGTGAATGAATGGGTTTCTGTTTTCTATCTGGAAAATATGAACCCACCCCGAGGCTGAGGGGCCCCCCATCTTGGGCTGCCACAGCAATAGACAGCGGTGGATGGCTCCAGGACCAGACTTGTCTTCCAGCTCCCAGGGTTGCTCAGCAGCTATTCACTCTTCAGCCCCTGTCTAACACCCTGAGCTGGGGCTCCCCTTGTGGGCTTCAATGCCTCAGAAACCATCCTCTGTGATGCCACAGCCTATAGTTAGCCTCCTCAGCATCCCAGCCTACAGTGAGGACCCTCTTCTGCACCCCAGACTATGGGAAAGACTCTCCTTGGAGTCACAACCTACAGTGAGGACCCTCCCCAGCATCCTGGCCTATGGGAAGGATGCTACTTGATGAAAGAATATTTTCATCTCTTGGTGGGAAATTTTATTCCAGCTTGCATCTGTGACCCACAAAGAGCTGGACTGGAGTTGGGACAGCCCTGCCCAGGGAGTGCTCGGCCCCCTTCACCACCAGGAAGGACCTTACAGGAAGCCTCTGCTCTCCTTCCTTTGGGCCCTGTCCACAAGTCTCCCCAGTGTCCTCAGACCGATACCTCCAGGTGGGTAAGTGACCTGCATGGGCATGTCTGACCCACCTGAGAATGTGTTCCCATGGGTGCTGTGTCAGAGGCAGGCAGCAACAGGGAGCACAGGACATGCCTACTCACTGATGCTGAAGTTTGCCCTGAGTGTGGGGAATGTGAGAAACACAATCCAAGTTTCACCAGGTCTTTAATGGTGTGCATTTGAAGTCAATAGCAGTCTGGTTGATTTACAGAAAATGTAGTCTCAGTTTGACTGTCCCTTTTAAGGACTCAACTGATATTCTTGAACATCTGAATGAGTACAGGTGTGAGCTGTGCCCCCCTACTCAGCATCCCTCCTTCCTCTACCCAGCAGCCCAGCAGCAGCCAGCCCAAAGCTCAGACGCTGGCTCAGGGAGGAGGAGCACCCACCTGGCCAGTTGATAGGAGCTCTGGGTTTCCGTCACTCATCCCCACGTAGGCACTGTCACCATCAAACTAGAACAGAGAAAGAGAAGCAGCTCTGATTAAAATGTTGTCAGGGAAGCACCAGGAGAAGCAGCCAGAGGTCAGGAGACTGTGTGCTGCAGGGCTGGGACTGCGGGTCTGCAGAAGTAAAACTCGGAGCCCAGGGTGCTGAGGCTCTGTTTCAGCAGGGCTCCCTGCAGGGTGGAAGGTACAGCCCCTGTCCTGTGGTCCCTAAGAGCTCAGGTTAGCACCATTAATCACATGTAGGATGGAGACAGGAAACCCTTTGGCCCTCCACACTTTGTCCATAGATATTGCAGGCTGCTTTGTTGAAATTCCTTTTTCTTTTTCTTTTTTTTCTTTTTTTTATTCGTACCGGGGATTGAACTCAGGTCCTTCCGCTTGCAAGGCAGGCAGCCAAACTGCTGAGCTAAATCTCTGGCCCGCAGGCTGCTTTGTTGAGCACTGATCCCTCACCTCTGGAAGTATGCAAAGACCTCAGCCAAAGCGATGCCAGGCAGTGTGGACCGGCTTTCTCCAGAGACAGGACCATGACAGCCTGCCCTAGACATGCCCCCCAGTTCTTTACCCTCTACCCTATCCCGTTCTAGTCCCTGAGCCATTTGTAGCCACAGGCAGTGAGGAATGCGGTAGAAACCATGCAGAGGAACTACAGTTCTGAGTTCAAGAAACTGCCAGGCCTGGATCCAGGAAGAATTCGCCACAGCAAGGAGCAGTTACAGTATGACAAATGCTGCTATCAGGCCCCAGCTCCCTCTTCACTCTGACATGTGACAGAGTAGGTGTCTGAGGTTCCTCATGGTCACCAGGGACAGTGAGAATAGCCTCTCTTCATAGGATATTGCAATTTAGAGCGCTTTACTCACGTGTCACTATGGACCACATGTCACTCAATTCCAGGTGGTTCCCTCCCTTGGGCTAGGTGTCTGGGACAGGGATCCCAGAAGCAGAACTGCAGCAAGGGTTCAATGCATGTGACTTTTGAGGACATGCTCCTTAGGAATAACTTGTAAGGTTGGAAGGGAAGCAGGACCCACAAGTAGCTGAAGCTAAGCAAGGAGGTGGTCTCGGCTGGAGTCTCACCTCAGCCTGATCCCAGGTAGCTCTGGAGCATGGATTGTACCGCACAGTTTGTCCCAGCATGGAGGAATGGGTGGCCTCCTGCAGTCCGTGTACATCGGTCACTGGGTGTGAGCTGGCCTTAGGAGACACGGGGAGGTGTGACTTTCTGTGCAAGGTGGCCCCCACTGGACCAGGGACAATCATTCAGAGGATTATACTGCTCTGAGCCATTTGCAGCCAGTGCAATAACAGGTGGGCATTTTGTTTTAACTGAACGATTTATTATAATATATTCACATGATCAAAAAATTCCAGAAGTACAAAAGGTGACAGTGAAAAGTATCCTTCTCATCCCATCTCCCAGCCAGCCAGCCACTGTCCCTCCCCAGAGGCAACCATGCCGACAGCTTTCCTGCATGCTCTCATAGACCGTGTGCACTGACACATTTTTCTAGTTACTTCTTCCACCCAAACGACAGCACACCACGCACACTGCTTCACACCTTATCTTTCTCATAGCGACACATCCGAGGAAATGCTGTACAGAAGAACATACTTCTTTCTCCTGGTATCTAGTATTTCACAGTAAGAGTGTTATATACACATTAGCTGGCTGAGCAGATGGACAGTTGCCCTGTTTCTAGGATTTTGCAATTCCAACACGGTTTTCATGAGTATTTGCATACATTCATCATTGTGCAAGGATATGAGTTGGTCTGCAGGATTGATTTGTATAACTGTGGGACCCAGCAGGATGTGCATTCATAATTCTGGTAAACATCACCAAGCAGTCCTCAGACAGACAGGAAAACTCCACACTTCTACAACCATGCAGGAGATGTCAGCCCATGGTGCTCCTGCCAGAGGCTTTGTTCAACAATTGACTTAGATGTCAGCTTCACCATGGGGGCTCTGGGAGTCCGCCTCCACCGCTACCACCTGCCCTGCCTTACTTTATTTTTGTTGTTGTTGTTGTTGTTGCTCCCCATACCTTCTAGCTTTTCCTAACCTTTACTTATTTAGCATTTTCATTGCTTAAAATTGGATTCCCCTACTACACCAGAGGGTCCTGGGAGCCAGGAACATTAGCCTGTCCGTACACTGATGCCTTCCAAGTTCTTAGAACACTCTTGCATGGAGTAGGTGCTCAATAAATTCTTCTTGAGTGACTGAAGGAAGCAGACAATTCAGATTGGCTCTTACCAGGCCAGTCCTCCTATGTAGGCAGTGAGTACTGGTGGTTTCCCCCCCGAGACAAACACGGGCAGTGTTCTTTGGTGACTGCTGGATTACTGGAAGAAAGGGCTGTGCCATATCAAGAGGCGGGGCACTGACCCCAAACGCAGGACCCCCGAAGCACATGCTTTGAGGCCCCCCAGAGGCTACTTCCTCCAGGAGACCTGCCATGCTCTCTTCCTTCTCGCTGCCCTTCTTACAACACAGATTGTCCCACACCTATCATTAGCCCAGAGGAGAAGTAACATGGGGGCTGGACTTGTGTCCTGCTCATCTCTGAAGGTCAGTGAAGGATATCAGCCTGGCATCGGGAATGAGACAGTGATTTGAGCAGGGTAGGGGAGCTTGCAACAAAACTCTTGGGTACCGTTTGATTTGTCAACATAGCTGTTTATTGTTTTGATAAAAGTGAAACTTTCTTAAAAACTGTGCATAATTTATAAATATATTCTAATAGAAATAATTAAATGGAGGTGGAGGAGGACTGTTTAACCAGGTATTTGAAACATTTTTCTAAATCAGTAGTAAGCAAACACTATGGTGTAGATTTGAAATACAAGATGTAACAGAACAGAAGGAAACATGGCCCCCCAAACCTGTGTAATATCTACCATTTATTAATGTGGGCTAGAGCAGAGCCACCACACCACAAAGGTAGAGGCCACTGTTTGTCTCATTCCCTGGTGAACACAGTAGGCAACGGATAAACATTGAGTGAATGAATGAATATAGCCGGCACTAAGTGACGTGCTTCACATAAAAGATCTCATTTAATTCTCACAATGGCCCAGTGAAGAAAGTACCCTTTTCCCTGCTGAAACCAAGGAAACAGGTAGAATAAGGGTGAGTAGTTGTGAATGATTACACAGCTGGGGAGAGACCAGATCCAGTGATAAAGAGATCAAGGCTTTTCTAGATCTTTCCATAAAACCTAACAGAGGCTTGACAGTGTGTTCGAGGCTCAGGAGAGGCAGGGATTGATTGGAAAAGCCTGGGTCTGGGAAATGAAGCCGCTGGAAGTAGGTAAGGGAAGGGACAGAGGAGTCCCACAAGGTCAGCACAGCATGTCTCAAGAAGGCTTAAATCATTCATTCATTCATTCATTCAATCAACATCTAAAAAAGAGCTGCCACATGCCAGTAAAGCTTGCTTTTCTGGCTTTCAGGGGCTTGGTTGGGGGAGATTCCCAGCAGGGTCTTGTCTGCCTCTGTTGGGATCTCCCTGGGTGCCTGGCACAGTGCCCTGGAGCACGCTGGGCTGAACAGCTGTGGAGCGGAGCCCTGAGGTAGAGAGACCAGGTGTCTGCTCACCTCTGCCTGGGCTCTCTGTGGTAGAGTCCTTGTGGGGGTAGGGAGGAAGGAAGGGGACTCCAGGCTCTAGGGTTCCCTTTGGCTTGGCCTCTGGGGTGCGAAGGCCTGGGCTTCCTCCCTTAACCCTCCTGGTGTGAGTCTCTTCCTGAGGAAAGGAACGGCAGGCCAAGGAGATGCTCATGAAGTTTTCTCTTCCCTCTGACGCAGCAGCCACCTCCTCCTCTCTGCACACAGACAAGATGGAGAATGCTCAGGTCCATACCCACGGCCCAGCGGATGCTGACATGAACACAGCGGTGTATGGCATGCACAGTGTCCGTAAGCTTAGGGACACATGTGCACCACAAACCCGTGTTCCTGCGGGCCCATCTCACACCAAGCTCGGTGTTCCAGAGAACACTCAGTCGCACGTGTCCCACATCCGTGGATGACACAAAGCAACACAAGTAATGTGCACAGAGCTCCAGCACAAGTGTGCACAGTCACAGCCACTGCGCGTGACCCTACACAACACCCCCAGCGGGCGCACACGCAGGAAGGAGGGTCAGCCAGATATATGCGAACACATCGTGCGCCTGTCTGTGACTATCACATGCAACACACACACATGAACACAAAAGCACACTGCATGTGCACGGGGGACAAACGGCAAAGTGGCACATGGGTGGCATTCTGTGTGGATTTATACACAATCTATCAGTCCCTCAGCCGGAAATCTTTTTCTAATACCACACAACCTTCAGTATGCTTTAAAGATGAAAAAAAAATGTGTAGGGAGAAACAACAGCCTAAGAACTCCCATGAAACGTCAAGAGGAGAAACATCCTCTTACCACTGACTGGAGTAGATTAATTTTCCCCATTTCATATTCTAATTATAATTCCTTTTCCCATTGCCATCTTCAGTCCTCATTACAGCTGGAAGATTGTTCTGCAAAAGCCAGGCCTTCATCTTCTCTTCCCAAGAGTTTTGTCATGGAAATGAGTTTTGGAATCTGAAAGAACCCACATTTTCGCAAATATCGAATGTGTAGGGATAACCCTTTCGTGACAGCCACCAGGGACTTGCTCACAGACACTTCTAAAGGATCTGCCTCTCCCTATACAGTTTAGCCCCCTTGGAGAGGGGCCCTTGGGCCCCTATTCCAACAGCCACCCCCTAACCTCAGCACACCATTTTCCTCCAAAGGATTTTTTTTTTTATTTGAAGGGAAACTTTGCAAATAGACAATCTCAATGAAAAGTAAAGAGACCTGATCTTCGTCAAATCCCAGCTCTATCTGTCTTACCACAGGTAAGTTCCTGCTCCAGCCTAAGTTTTGACCCACAGTCACTGACCCGTGATGGATATAAACTAAATACCCGTGGGATGAACGCATGTGATAAGGCGTGGATGAAAGGG